TTTTATAGCCTTCCATTTTGTTTGGTTACAGAGCCATCAAATAGAAAATAAGCCCCTTCCTGCTACACCCACCTGTCACATCCTCTTTTCTTAATAGTTCTCTCACGTTTAATTCTATATTATCTATAATAATAGAAGGCCAAGGTTTTCATCTATCAAATGACATATTATATAACGTCATGGTCTGAACAGTTAAATGTCAATTTCACTCGGAGTACCAACATCGTTCCCATGGGAAAGATAATGACTAGCTTTGATGAATTTGTAATGGTTCTTGTAGCAGAGTTAGAAAGCCAGAAAAATTGTGATAATTGTGAAATTGTCTACTTTTTGCATGTTGTTATTCTATGTTCTTTGATGCATTATTTAATTACATAAAAATATTTAGTGCATTACTACATTAGTATTAAAAAAGTAGGGTTAAGTGTCATAAACAATCGACAGCAAGAAAAAAGAAGATTCAGCTAAAAACTTTATTTCTTGTTTATCATGTTTAGTCTTTATATATTATTATTAAAAGTAACTAAAATGTAAAAATAGGGATCTCTAGGTTAGTTAAAGTTAGATTAGGTAAAATAAATAATAATAATATAATAAAAATGTTTGATGAGGCACGCATGCAAGCAGCTCGTGGATAATGTAATTCAATAGCGTAGTGTATTGTCCATGTTCCCAAGTGATTTACAATTTATAATGTCATGAATAATAGTTAAACACGGTTCAAAGGGCAATAAAACAATAAAATTTAATGATAAATATATGTATACTGTTATGAGTTTAAAGCTACTTAAGATAAACAAATGTTGTTTCATGTTACAATTTGAATTGATTCTAGAAAGAAAAAAAAGTGTAATTTAGATTTATTTCAATTATTATTTTTATTGGTTGTTACGAGGTTGGTCAAATTGACCAATGTTGTATAGAGTTAAGGTAGAGAAAATAACAAATAAAATTTAATGTTTTACTGAAAACAAACATTTCAAATGGATTTAGGAGGTTTTTAGAGATTATACAAATCAAATCTGAAATTTTTTATATGAAGAAAATATTTCTAATCTTAACATGAAAATCACTTTGCACATGGACTATTCAAAACAAATACTCGATATATTCACAGACAAATCTTTTTTTTTAGTTTATTTAAAATTCTTCACTAAAAATATATTTTTTTTTTACGTGAAAGACTTGTAATGCTTACTGAAAGACTGCTAAATTTTGTGAGGATATACATACTATATTAAAAGTTTGTAGTATCAAGTCTATAAAGAGTATACAAGTACAAGGAGGTTGTGTGGTCAGTCAAGTCGACTGAGTTCGTGTTGAGAGAGTTAGCCACAGATGCATGTTCAGGTTGTGTTGGGGTGTTGCCCAGTTATGCATTTTCCTATTCCCTACAGATAATTGGTATCTTGAGTCTGTTTTAACAAAGGGTTTTTGGTAATAATTCCGAAGCATAGATTTGTGCTAATTTTTGACTTATTCGTCATAGTTATTGATAGGATGCGAATCACTTCTGTGTTTAGAGCAGAAAAATTGCCAAAATTTAGGAGATATTTATGCCTATATTAGTGATTAAATTCAATTAAAAGATGAAGTATTATAGGAGAAAAAGTGGAAGTGAACTCGTGTAACTCCTGAAATTCAGAGAAATCGAGCATGACCGACTGACTGGCCCAAGTGACACTTGGCTTTTATGATTATGATGATTTTTATAATTTTTTATGATAATGTGATTAAACGACATTAAAAAGATTACAATTTAAAACAAGGAATTTAAATATATTGAAAAATTGTAGTTAGATTAAACAATAGGCTAACTAGTGTGATATACTAGTGCCTTGATTATCTGCTGTCTCTGTTAGATGTGACTTTTTGCTTTCCCCGGACCAACGTAGATAATCGAGGCACCACTGTATATTAATTTACTTTCACATCAACGATTGCATGCTGAAGATCACATGATATGAACAACCACTTGATAGTATTGACTGAACTAGCTGCCTTTAGTCCTGTCTGAGTCTAAATATGCACATTGATTGGTTGAATTGAGAGAAAGAAGAAAAACAAAATAGCGCATAATTAGTAATATGTTGTGCAATTGCAGTGCTTCATTCCTGAAAAAACATGAAGTGCTGAATCCACCATTAAAATCCTAGAAACAAAATCCAATTTAGGACTCAAAGAATGTGAAAATAGTTCCAGACTTCCAAGAGTCCAGAACTGTTTTGGATTCAAGTTCTATTTAGCACAACTCTACATACAAATAAAATGGGAGAAAATACTGGGTGCCATGATGATCTGGCACCTGGGATTTGTCGAAACATGCTTTAATGTTACCCACATCCTTTACCATTCCTCCTATCTCATCCTCTATCCTGACTGGTCCTTCCTCCCTAGAACTTATGCTGCCAGTTTAGGTGGTTTGGCATTTCCCACCCGTCCTCCCTCTCTGTTCCTTTTTGGTTTCCTTTTCCAGTTCACTCCTTAAGGACATATATGATACATACTGCCTCCTTTTGGGGTCCACGTTCTCAAACTTTCATTCCCTGAAACCGTTCCATTTCCTGTGCTCTGTCCCCTGTAATGCTTACTGGTTGGGTTCGTTTACTCATTAGGCTGGCATATTTGTATTTATCCATAAAAGGTCACCATTTCCACAATGTTCTTCTCATCAGATTCGTCACATCACTATGTCTTTGGCTGCACCACCTTGATGTCCTTTGGAAGAGACTGTTCATGTCGAAATGTGGACCTTTTCGAAATGTCGAAATGTGCTCATTATCCGCATGACCTGGCTATATCTTCCTATAGTGGATATCGTTGACCTTCCATGGTGATTCTACACACATCAGTTCACTTTTGTTGGGGTAAGTCTTTTGTGTTTTCTTTTCAGCTTCCCTACTTGTAACATCTACTTTACGGATCACACCTTCTGGCAGGTATGCTTTACCTCAAACCCACATTAGTTTAGAGTAACTATATAATGCTCACTGTAGAGATGGGGTGTTTCTGTAAGACCACTGTCCGCTTTCCTAGTGGTGTGTGTGTGTGTACTAGATATCAATCAATTTCAATCAGTGGTGGAATATCACTCATGGACTTCCTGAGTAAAGCAGAAGGGGATTTCTGCCCATCCCTGCCGACTCTATGGTTGCATTGGTCTGCTTTTCAAAATAAGAACTTGTAGACACCCATTGCACAGTCTCCGGTGGGACATTCTTCCAGGTTCCCCACCATTTTACAAATAAAACCCTACTTGAGTTTTTCCTGGATATTTTTTGCTCAGGTGAACCTCACTAGACGAAAATGTTGATGTCATCATGAATAGATCACATGGTTCTGATGCTCTAGCAACTTGTTGTTATTCCATTTTTTTCACTTCCCCAACCTACTAATGTCGAGGATGAGCTACAGATCATTGTCTGTCAGGTTGAGGCTGGGTAGGTACCTAGCTCATTCTGTTATATCTTCCTACAGGTTGCACCTATCAGACATTCACATCTGTGGTTCACTGCAAGCATTTCTGGCTAGGTTTTTAACACAGGTACATTATCAGGCACAATCCTGTGACAAATAAAACATGTGTTCTTCAGAACATACAGCAATACCATCACTTGTCCAGTGCTGTACGAATTATTACTGCATTCATTTGTGCTAATATTTTCAATTCTGCCTATTTTGTGTTGCTTTCCAGTTTCCTGGGTGAAGAGCATACCTGTTCCAGAAGTTCATACATGTTCATCTCGTGACACACCTGTTCTTTCTGGGTGGTTGCTTTCCACTTAGTTTTATATATGTGTGCCTAAACCAGCCCCTCCACATTTGCAGTGTTGTAAGTTAACATTTTTTTACACTAAAAGTGTATTTACGTTTGGTACTTCCCACCCTTCCTCCCGACTGCTGGTATTTTTATGTTAATACCTGCTAACTCTCAAAAGTGAGGACTGAGCAGGAATAGCAGTCACATGATATGTACATGTTCTGAAAAGGTGGGGAACTGATGGGGTATAAAGACTGGTGAGTTGATTGCAAAAATGTTTTAGTAATGCTTAGAGGGCAAACAAGGATCAGAATAGCTTTGTGGGAGGGGGGGGGAGAGAGTTATTGCCTATCGGAAATACAATTTCAGTGTAAGAAAATGTTAACATCTGGAGTACCAACTTCACCAGGAATTGGGGATTATCTGGAATACAAACTTGAACAGGAACTGGAGAATTAATTCATATTTATTTATTTAGAGAAAAATGTCAGTTTTTATGCTTCTCAGCTAAATGGATTAGCAATGCTATCTATATATATTTAATGTACTTCTGATGTTAATACATGACAAGGTTTATATTCCACAGTAAATCTGCCCAAAGACTTAGTTGATCAGAGTTTAATAACGTATATTGATTATGGAAAATAAAATGATGAAACTTTACAGTGCCCGATTGGGTTTTAGTAGTGTTAAAAATTATGACTTTATCCCACATTTCAGCCATGAATAATTTAAATTTTTTCTTTAATCATTGGTCTGGCCACATCTCGGTAAGAAAAAAATTCTACAAGGTGGGTGTGTAAAACATTTATCTTAAGCTAAAGTGAAGTGGGTAAGAAAGAGTCCTCTTGTGGTTTTCAAGTGAATTAAATGGAGAGTACCATTTTTTATTGTTTGATTTGAGAAACATATTTCTTAATTTTTTTTTCTAGCTAAGCACTGTTCATATATAGTGTTTAAAACCTGGTAAAGTTTACGGTGTGTTAAGAATTAAAAGAACTGCCTGGTAATGGATGCAGTAACCTATTGAAAAGTGATTTATAAATACTTAAGTGTTGTACCTTTTTTTACTCTTATTGTAATTCCTTGCAAAGGTGAATTTTTTGTTTGAAATAAATTATTATTATTATTACATACTGAAATAATACAACACGTATATTAGCTATTTATTGAACTTTCATTTGTTAAAATATTTCATCTTTTTCTTTCATTTGCCTTTTGGACTGATGTAAACCTACAGTGCTAATGGTAAGTTTTAGTTTGAATAGGATGCTAAAAATATAACATGTTCTGTTGTAATTCATATCAATTTATTTGAGACAACCTATATATTTGGATGACCATAAAGGTTTTAAAAAACACATTTATTTTGTATTTTAAACAGTAGCAATTAAACCTAAATATTAACCCTTTGAGACAACCTATATATTGTGATGTTCATGAAGAGTTTACAAACCACATTTTATTTTGTATTTTAAACAGTAGCAGTTAAACCTAAGTATTAACCCTATGCATATAGGATGGTCAAAATACACAATACAACCTTTTTTATAGTTACATTAAAAATTTAATGAAACTGTTTTATTTTCAATTTATATTACTAAACTTGGCATCAAAATGTTGTTTATAATTCAAATTTTTGTATTGTCTAAGTTTCAATTTCTTAATTTCAAAAGTAAATATTTAAATACATTTTCGGTCTGCACCTCTCTGAGTTACGTTATAAGGTGGCTCTCTGACTTCTTCATTTATAGATATACTATAGACATTAACGAGCCTGACTGCTTTACTGAGACATCACTATATTTCTTTAACCCTCCTATATTTTCTCTAATATTGCTATTAGGCATGTTTATTACCAATAGAAAGAGCATATCCTGAACTGTATAAAGTAGATGATTATTGTGTTTTATCAGTCAAAGCCAATGTGTATGAGGAAAGCTTGATGTTTGTAGACTAATGATGTTGCTCAAAGCAGTAATGGAATTTTTTAATCTATTTATACATTAGGTAGAAAGCCAGGTAAATTATAGTAGTTTTAGGACATTCTATACTAGTGCTTGATGTAATTTTTATGTTCAAAAATGCATATTTGAAAGCTACATTAATTATTTTTTGGACAACCAACAAAGTGCAAATGGCCACAGGGCTAAAGTAAATGCTAAATTTCTTGTTTTTTATGTATAGTTTTTATTTATTGTTATATATTTTTTTTAACAAAAGTAACTAAAATTTATGTATTCAAACTTATCAGGTTAGATAAGAAAATTTAATGAAAAATATTAAATAAAAATTTATTGTGATCACTCCTTGGTGAATGCACACAATGTACACAGTTTGCTGTTACATGATGTAACCTGATACTTTCTTTACTCAAGTTTTCCCTTTGGGTGATATATTGATTGTCATATTAGTGAAGGTAGTTTGAAGTACAGAAATAAAATAAAAGAATTAAAAGATAGCAGATGTCAAAGGTTAGAAAGCTGAAACTGTTAGGATATATAATTATAATTGTCTTATGCCAAGGTTTTTCTAGACATGGACACACAAATCGATCCGCCAAAGTTCACTCTAGAAAAAGTCTCTTACACAAAAAATATAGCACTTAGTCTGAATTTAGATATTAGCATCATTATAAGGACATTATAAGTTTCCAATAACATGGACACTTTTAAATTTAAAATTTTGAAATTTCCATTCCAAAATACATATATTCCAAATTAGTTATTACAATGCTTACTATTCTGAATTTATTAGATACAATAGAAATTGATTATAATTACAAGATTTTTATGAATAGAGCTTGTAAACTAACTCTAAGTTTTCTTAATCAAGATTTCTTTGGGCATTTTAGACAAAAAAAAATTCATTCAATTCTGTGGGAAATTTAACAGTATTCTTACAAAAATTATGGATTTATAAATTTTAAAATATATCATGACCTCTTAAAACTTTTATATCTACAATTTTATTCCTTGTTGTTTATAGTAATAGTCAACTGCTTTAGTGTATTGACCACTATTGGTTTTATCTGCCATTAGTTTAAGTTATTATTCTATATATTGTTAATATTATTTAAAGCTTGCAGTGGATAGTGGGAACTATTTGGAAGGTAGAATACATGCAACGTTTTGATCACTAGTGTGATCATTTTCAAGCACAGCACAGACCATTTAAATTTGAATATT